TTTGATGTTGTTTTAGTGTGGTAAAACATACATACCATAACCTTTACCATCTTAACCATCTTTAAGTGTACAATTCAGTGGCATAAGTACATTCACATTGTTGTGCAACCATCACCACCATCCATCTCCAGAACTTGGTTTTTCCTCCCAAACTGAAGCTCTGTGCCCATTAAACAAATAATTCCCCATTGTTCCCAGCATTTACTCTCAGTCCCTAGGAATCTAATTTCTCTAGCTACCTAGTATAAGTGGAACCATACAATATTTGTCCTTTTGTGTCTGTTTTATTTCACTTAGCATAATGTCCTCAGGGGTCATCCATATTGTAGCAGGCGTCAACATTTCATTCCTTCTTTTTTTTTTCTTTATGGATTTTAGAGAGAGAGGAAGAGAGAGGGAAAGAAAGAGAAGAAACATTGATGAGAGAGAACATCGATTGGCCACCTCCTGCATGCCCCCCACTGGGGATCAGGCCCACAACCTGGGCATGTGCCCTGACCGGGAATTGAACTGGCGACCTCTTGGTGCATGGGTCAACGCTCAACCACTGAGCCACACTGGCCACGCTCATTCCTTATTAAGACTGAGTAATATTATAGTGTATATGTGTACCACATTTTGTTTATTCACCGATGGACACTTAGAGTGTTCCCACCTTTTGGCTACTGTGAACAATGCTGCTATGAACGTTTGTGTACCAATGTTTATTTGAGTCCCTGGTTTTAATTCTTTTGGGTATATGCTCAGAAGTGGAACTGCTGGATCATGTGGGAATTTTATTTCCCACAGAGGCTTTTTTATATTCCCAATACACAAGGGTTCCAATTTCTCTACATCCTCATCAACACTTATTTATATTATTTTTAAAAAATAATAGTCCTCCTACTGGGGTAACTCACTGTGGTTTTGATTTGCACTTTCCTAATGATTACTGAAGTTGAGCATCTTTTCATGTGCTTGTTAGCCATCTGTATATCTTTTTTAGAGAAATGTCTATTCAAGTTCTTTGCTTGTTTTTTAATTTGGTTGCTCTTTGTTGGCGTTGAGTTGTAGGAGTTTTAAAATATATTCTGAACATTATTTCTCTATCAGATATATGATTTTCAAATATTTTCTCCCATTCCATGGGTTGTCCTTTCATTCTGTTGACAGTGTCCTTTGATGCAAAAAGTTTTAATTGTGATGAAGTTTCATTGATTTATTTATTTATCCCCTGGGCTTTGTTGTCATAGCCAAGAAATCATTGCCAAATCCAGTGTTATGAAGCTTAGCCTTTATATTTTTCTTGTATTTTCTTCTAAGAGTTTTATAGTTTTAGCTCTTATGATTAGGTCTTTGACTCATTTTGAGTTATTTTCTTGTATATAGTGTAAGATTAGGGCCCGACATCATTATTTCTTGCATGTGAATATTTAGTTTTCCCCAACCCCACTGAGTCGCTTTGTCATCCTTGTCAAAAACCATTTGACCACAAATACAAGGGTTTATTTCGGGGTTCTCTATCCTATTCTATTGGTCCTATGTCTGTCTTTTTGCCAGTACCATGATGTTTTCTTTTTCAACTTTTTAAGTTATTTTTATTTAGGGCTGTAATAGATTCACAGCAAAACTGGGCGGAAAGATCAGAGATTTCCTATATACCCACTGTCCCCAGTATTCACAGCCTCACCCACCATCAAAATACTTCGCCAGAATAGTACATTTGTTACAGTTGATGAACTGACATTGATATATCATCTCCCAGAGTCTATAGTTTATATTAGAGTTCACCCTTAGTAGGGTACATTCTGTGGGTTTGGACAGTGTATAATGGCATTTATCCACCATTACAGCATCCTATAGAGTGGTTTCACTGCCCTCAACTCCTCTGTGCTCCACCTACCATCCTTCCCTCCCCTAACCCCTGGAGATCACTGATCCTTCATAGTTTTTGTCTTTTCCAGAATGTCGTATAGTTGGAATCATACAGTATGTAGCCTTTTCAAATGGGCTTCTTTCCCTTAGAAAGAAGGTATATATATATATGTGTGTGTGTATATATACATATATATATACATATATATACATATATATGTGTGTGTATATATATACATATATATATATATATATATATATTCAAGACCTCCCCCATGTATTTTATGGCTTGAGAGCTTATTTCTTGTTAGCACTTAATAATATTCCACTATCTGGATATACCGCAGTTTACTTATCCATTCACCTACTGAAGGGCATCTTTATTGCTTCCAAGATTTGGCAGTTATGAATAAAGCTGCTATAAACATCTCTGTGCAGGTTTTCAACTCATTTGAGTTTTATACCAATTGTTTATACCAACAATTGACATTTTAACAATATTAAGTTGTCTAGTCCATGAATATAGAATGTCTTTTTACTTATGTGTGTGTCTAATTATTTTCACAACATTTTGTAGTTCTCAGTGTACACGTCTTTTGCCGCTTTGGTTATTTCCTAAGTATTGTACTCTTTTTGATGCTATTGTAAATATAATTGTTTTCTTAATTTCCTTTTGGGATTGTTTATGGTTAGTGTATAGAAAAACAATGATTTTTGTGTATTGATTTGTATCTGCAACTTTGCTGAATTTGTTTATTTCTAACCGTTGTGAGTGTGTGTGTGTGTATAATCTTTAACGTTTTTTACATATAAAATCATGTCATATGCAAACGAATATATTACTTCTTCCTTCCCAATTTGATAGCTTGTATTTCTGTGCCTTGCCTATTGCTCTGGCTTGCACTTCTAGGAGGATGTTGGATAGAGATGGTCAAAGTAGGCATCCTTGTCTATTCTTGATCTTAGAGGAAAAACTGTCTTTTACCAGTGAGTATGATGTTAGCTGTTTAAGCAGTGTTTAAAAAGATCTTAAAAAGAGGGATTATGAAGACTTTGACCTATTTGAAATTGTGTTTCTCTGTGTTCTCAGGATCTAGCACAGTGCCTGGCACATTGCAGTTATTGAATGAATGGATTTTTTTTTTTTTTTTGACAAAAGGCAGTTTCTCAAAATGAAATGAGCTAGAGGCATTCTGAATGAAGAGTTGCTTTGTGAGAAGGTAGCAAGGATTGAAGGGTGACCATGAGGTGACAAGGAGTCATCAGTTGTCCACTGACACGGAGCAGATGTTGGGCCCACATTTCAACCTGCAAAGCCACTTGGGTCTCAGAAAACTTTGCTTAGATGGTCTGCTTTTGAGAGATACCTCCCTGGTCAAGTTAATCCCCCTTCTCCACATTAGCACTAAACAGTTGGAAGAAAATAACGTATATTGTATCTCTTTGTATTTATGACTATTGAATTAGTAACTTCTGTCCACTGGGTGCAAAGAAAGTGAGTGAAATGCTATGAATTATCGATAGAACTAGTTAATGCTATAGAGTATGTAACATATGCCTCACTTAGGCACAGCTTTGAAATAATGTGCGTGACTTAAAGTGCATGTGTCTGTTTGCCTTCCTCTTAATCGGGATAGCTGGGAAGCACTGAGTCACCACCATTTCATTGGTAATGCTGTGTTCTTCCATTGGAACACAGCCCTCTTAACTTGGAGCAGATAAAAATTCGGATTAACTGTAGTCTGGAGTGGGAAAATCACAGCCAAATGAGTTTATTTAATGTGTTGGCATTTCTCTTCATCTGGACTTCAAACAAGTAGGTCCTAAATGTGAACTAATAGGGCCTCACTTTTCCCTTTAACAAGGTTCATGTGAGTAACAGTTTTAAAAATACATTGGTAAATACAGAATTTGGTAACTTTGATAACAATTTGGTTAATGCAGAATTTGACCAAACTTGATTAATTTGATCACCAAGGCTGTCATAGAAAGAGCAGGCCCGTTTGTCTCAGCGAGGGAAACCCTGTAGCCTGTGTAAAAAGCGGATGTGTTCTAAGGATACAAGGCTGTCTTACAGGACCAAGGACAGGAAGGACAGCCAGGCTCAGGGGGTCTAGGTCCAGGACCTTGAAGCCCTAGGATTCGAGGTCACTCAGGCTGTGTCTCCAGGACCACCCGGTCTCACCTCTACTTTTGCCTCTACCTGCTCCTTGTCTCTCTCTCTGCAGATTGGCTGCCTTGGCTTCTCGGGGCACACAGCCAAGCACAGCTGCCCGGCTCCGGCTTTTTATCACTTCCAGGTCCAGAGCCAGCCGAGGCTGCCTGGCATCTCTGATTTCCAGATTCCTGGGAGAATCTGGTTATCTCATCTGAGTCAGATGATCACTCCTAGTTTATTGACTTATTTATTTAAAAAGTCTTTACTGAATGCCAGGAACTGTTTTAGGCACTGGGAATGCATCCTGCCCTTGTGGACTGTGTGTGTGTGTGTGTGTGTGTGTGTGTGTGTGTGAGAGAGAGAGAGAGAGAGAGAGAGAGAGAGAGAGAGAGAGAGGGAGGGAGAGGGAGGGAGGAAGGGAGGGAGGGAGAGAGAGGGGGGGAGAGAGAGAGAGAGAGAGAGAGAGAGAGAGAGAGAGGAGAGAGAGAGAGAGAGACTATGAAGTTCATTCTTTGGGGACTGGGTTAAGAGTTGTAGTTTTCAGAGAAAGAGAAGTACGGTTTGAGATCCAGACAGACCTGGATTCAGATCCCGATTCCTCCTCTTATCAGCTCTGTGTGATCTTGGGCATATTAGATTACCATTCTCAGCCCCAATTTTCTCATCAGTAAAATGGGAATAATCCTTTCTAGGTAGTTATGAGGATTAAAATGAAAAAGTACCTGTAAAGTCATGAGTATGGCGCCTGTCACATAGAATCAGAACTCCCCCCATGCCTGGTTGTGGCCCTGAGCAAGTTACTTAACCTGCCTGAATCTGATTCTTCACCTGTAAACGGGAGAGAATCTCAGCTACCGCACAGGCTTATTGGGACGGCTGAGTCACGTGATGTGTGCCGGGGGTGCTGGGGATTTGTACACTGTCGACATCAGTGTGGCCGCTGCTCCTCTTGCTCGTGTCATTAGTCATGTTCTTCTCTTTCTTCCAGTTCCCTCTGGGCCGCCGCTTGCCCTGTGACATCTACTGGCATGGTGTTTCGTTTCACGACAGTGACATATTCTCCGGTCAAGTGAACAAGTTTCCAGGTATCCACTCTTGTTGTTGGCATTTACCAGTGTTCCCAGAACCTCAGGGTACACCCGTCCGCGGTAGCATGACGTGCTCTGAGGGCGAGCTCGAGGCCTCTTCCCTGGAATTGCCGCCTCGGTGCCGTCACCTTGGGAGAGTCAGGGCCTGACCCCCAGGGAGTTAAAGATTGGAGGGTCAAAAATATCAACAGACAGGCTCCCCTGGTCTCATTTCACTGGTGGAAGAACATGTTTTCACCTTTTTGGTTACAGATATAACCTGGGGGTGCCGTGAGGGGACTATATTCTCAAAATGGAAAAAAAAAAAAAAATAGACCATTTTACTTAAATAATTTGCAGTTGCCTGGCTGGTGTGGCTCAGTGGTTGAGCACTGACCCAGGCACCAAGAGACTGCTGGTTCGAGTCCCAGGCAGGGCACACGCCCAGGTTGGGGCCCGATCCCCAGTGGGGGGCATGCAGGAGGCGGCCAATTGATGTTCTCTCGCATCGATGTTTCTATCTCTCTCTCCCTTCCTCTCTCTCTCTCTAAAATCAATACAGAAAATAAATAAATAAATAAATAAATAAATAAATAATTTGCAGGAAACAGAAGTACTGAAATTCTAGGAATGTGTCACAGAAATGGGGTTAGCAGTTTTCATTTTTTTTAAGCATCACATTTGGAGGCACCATTTAAAAACGAAATGCTCCAGTCTGGGAACAAGAGGCGGCAGAAACCTCTGCTTCACCCAAGGCCGCCGTCCCAGGGAGCCTTCCCTCCAAGGGGACTCGTGCCCCCAAAGCAGCATAGCCAACATCTTAGATCCCCCCTCGCTCCACTCCCACCTCCTTCTGTGACTTTTCATTTCATTTTTAACCTCTCGTACCCTCTTCTGCTGTGATTGCTATTCATTATTGTTAAAGCTAAGAGGGTAGTTACCATGAGTGAGCAGAGGGCTTGCCGGGGAAGGGAACATTGGTTAAGCTGGGTCTGATCGGCCAAAGAGATTTCCACTGGTTTTCAGAAATTTTAACATATTGCTCAAAGCATGTTATAATACAACAATAAATGTGTGTTTTTGTTTTTGTTTTTTGTTTTTTTTTAAGATCATCACCTCATTCAACAAAACCACAATGTGGGTATTTCTATATTTCCTTCCAAACCTTAATTTGTTTATCATTTTTACAGAGTTGCAGTGAGAGTGTAGTTGCCTGAATATAAGGTGTTTTCTCTTAGCATTATATTATACATGCTTATTTTAAAAAGACGAATCGGTTTATTTATTTATTTTGGGGGCAGTCCATGCCACATCTGTAAGAAAACACCTCTCAGAAAACCCAGTATCCATACGTGAGCTGGTTGTGCCTTGTAGGCGAGGGGATTTTCCACTGAGCACGCAAACTGCCCCAGGCCACATGTGGCCCAGATTCACTGGCAAGGGTGCAGGGCAGGAAATAGCGGCTGGTCAGTGTCAGGCATTTCTCTCCAGTGGAGTCTTTTTTTTTAATACTTACCAGAGAATATTTTTTCACTGATTTGCAGACAGAGTAGGAAGGAGGGAGAGAGGGAGAGAGGGAGAGAGAGAGAAACATCGGTGTGAGACAGACACATTGATTAGTTGCCTCCCTCATGACCCTAACCTGGGCTGGGGATCGAACTTGCAACTACTGCTGAGCCAAACTGGCCAGGGCTCCCGTGAAGTCTTTGCAAGGCTCCGGGGTTAGTGTCTGGCCCCTCAAGCGAAAGCTCAGGTGCAGAGACAAGACCCACATCGGTGGATGCAAGTCTGTCTTGGCATAGACAACCCGTAGGAGGCAGTATCTCATGTAGCCACTCCCAGCATAGCTTCCAGGGTCATGCAAAGTGACCAGCATCACTATACTCAGGGAAGCCTGGAGCTCTGGCTTCCTACCAGGTAATTATGCAATTTGCCAGTCGGGTCATTTTAACCGTATGCTTTGTTGTCTAGTAACACAGCTAACTTCCCACCTTTATTGGTTTCCAGGGGAACAGAGCTAGAAAATTAACCCGAGGTCAAATTTGTCCTCAGAGAGGAGAGAGAGCTTTGTTACAGAACAGGAACGATGCTTGTAGCCAGGGTTCCTGCACATAGTCTAAGGGAATAGCTATTATTTTCTCTGTCTTGGTGCTCAGAAAAGGTGACTTTTTGATGCCACCAAAGGACTTCCTGGGATATCAGGAGAGCATAATTAGAAAAAGAACAACTCTGAATGAGGACAGAGTTCCTAGGATCTGAATCATCCAGCGAGGCTTCATTTACATTTTCCCATTTGCTCCTGCCTCATCGAATGGCTAAGAGAAGGAAGAGAAATACAGAGAAAAATACCCCGAGGGACTGGCTTCATTTAAGGTGATACAAAAAGATTCATCCCAAAGAAGCAAGTTTCTCCCCTTCCATAGTCCATGTGACAATGATTAGAACATATAATTCCCCACGTTGCTAACAGCAATTAGTGAGCTCTGACGACATAACAGGCCCTGGAACTTCTGGGCAGGGGAAAGCGAGGCCACACCCTCCGCTCTGAAAGCCCGCGCCGCGCAATGGGCATCAGGGAACTTCTGTTCTTTGGCTCCAGCGTGCGCCCAAGCCTATCTTCCGTCTCCAGTCTATCTCATTATTTAACAAATGTATTTTGTATGCATTGTACGTTACTTACAGGAAGTCCCGGTGGACGTGCCAGGCAAGTGTAAACACTTCCCACGCTGAATAAACTGAAACTTTTAGCTACGCATATGGAAGTCATTTATTCTGTTTGTGTCAGCACATTAGATTTTAGCCACTTTTCTATGGGCAATTTCCCTCAAGATATGTTACTGTATCTCATCTGTTGAATTAAGACTTTCTATAAAAGTAATCTGATTTAGATGTGTCTCTGCTTTAAGCAAGTCTGGAACTCTCAGTTCTTAGCTTAGAAACACTAGTCTTTTGGTGAGTTTCAGGGTCTGAGATGTTGACAGCACATGGTGGGTGCTACCTGAGAGCCCACCCTGAGGAGGGGGCTCTCTGTAGAGAGGGAGAGGGTCCAGTGAGGAATCCGTGGGGGCAGCCATCTGGCAGGCACTGGGCTGGGCTGGGGATACAAGCAGGAGGAGAAAGGCATGCAGAGAGGGGAGTGTAACACGAGATAAGCACTATGCCCCAGGAAGCTTGGGATGCCGTGGGGGTTGGACTGAGGGCACGTGAGCTGCCCCAGGTTTGCTTGGGGACAGGCAGGGTGGGAGATCCTGGAGGTCTGACGTGTGAACTGAGCCTCCAGGGATGGACGGGCCTGGACCTCACGGAAACGGAGCAGAGCCCGTGCAGAGATGTAGCCTGCGTAGAGCACACTTGCTGGCTGAGGGCACGTGGCCCGTGACAGTGAAAAGGGTCACATGTAATAGGGGAGCGGAGTGGTGATAGGAAGGTACAAAAGGTCACAGGAAGCCTCTGGGAATGTTTAAGCCAGAGAGTGACATGGGCCAGCTTGGATTTTAGAAAGACCAGCCGGAGGGGTGCATTGGAGGTGGGCAGAAGGCCGAGAGGGGCAAAGGAGAGAGAGCTGAGTCTGCTGTGGCATCCGAGCAAAGAAGGTGAGCTTAGCAGCGGTGATGGGAACGGAGAGAAGAGGATGGATCAGAGCGGACTATTTGTTGTTAGGTAGCTGTAATGTGTTTTTGTTATAAATGATATTTGGACTGAAGAATGCTCCCAACGTAGCTCAGATCTGATTTTGTTCTTTTGTTGTTGTTTTGTTTTTTAAATTGGGTAAGCTGTTAAACTCTTGGGTAACTCCACACGGGGTGAGACCCACCCGGCCTTGAGACTTTGGTGTAGCAGACAGAAGAACCCAGGCCAGAAGGGGTCACAGGAGGCAAGTGCTTGGTGTGAGAAGCTCCAACCTGAGTTAGGGGGTTTTCTCAATCGATAGGGGAATTGCGGAGACAGGGACATCGGGAGAGAGCGGGTGAAGAAGCCAGAGAGGCAGTCAGCCTCAAAGAACCTGCTAGTAGGCACTGAAAGCACAGGCGGAGGACCCCAGCCCCTGCCTGGTAGGCTTGGTGGGAACAGAGGGGGAACATTGGCAAGAACAAGGCAAAGGCATTGCTCAGGCACCAGAAGCAAAAGACAGGCTTCCAAAATTTGGGGACAAAGCAGTGGAACCTCAGAACAGTTAAAATCCTCCTTATTTAATTGGACTACAAAGTTGGGGTCAAAGAGTACCTTGTTTCCAAGCTTGGGGAGAGCTGATGGTTAGACCTAGAGCTTGAACCTCGGGTCAGAATGGGCCCCAGAGCCTAGGGAAGGGGCACAGACAGGCTCAGGAGCCGCAGCTGCTCAGAGAAGGAGGGTGGACGCTGGAGCCAGCAGAGCCTGGCAGGGACCTCCCTACTCACACATGTTCTCGGGGATCATGGGCTCCGGCTCTGCTGCAAGGCCAGCTACTCCTGCAGCCTCACGGAGAAGATGGTTCACCCCACACCTGTCTCAGCCACTGCCAGAGGCGGGGGTGCCAGCAGCTGGCTCGTGGGGTTCAGTGAAGGGTGGGAGACATCCTCCCTGGCAGCACTGGGTGGCAACCCAGCCAAGATGTGGTGGAGGAACAAAGGCTTCTGTGGTCAGTGGATCAAGGGGTTCCACACAGGTGCCCTCTGATGACAGGTGTGCAGGCGGGGTTAGGGCTGAGCCATCTACAGCCGGCAGGCTGGAGGATCCGGGGAAGGCAGGGGTGCTTCCGAAGTTGGCTGTTTTCAGTAGAGAAGTTTCTGGAGACGGACACAAAGGTAAACTCGGAAACACATCTGCTAGCCGGTGTGGGGCCACTGGTCCACATCGCACTGCAGACGGAAAATGAATCTTCACTTTATTTGCTGGACCTTGATTTTCACGAAACGTTTCTGGAACATTCAAATTGTTCTGGTCTCAGCACTCTGTCTGTGCTCTGTGTGTCCTTCTGACCTGCCGAGGGACTTCTGAGCCGTTGCGATGCAGACGGTCCCCCAGCACTTGGCCAGGAGGCATCAGCTCTTGTGAGGTGCTGTGTGACAGGTGGTTCTGAGCGGTTGGTTTAAAACTGTAAGTGAAACGTCTGCCAGGCACAGTGCAGTTGCCCAGAGCTGAAAATGTGTTTTTGTGTATTTTGTGTTCAGCTCTGGTGTTTAGAACTTAAACTTTCTAATTTGTTAGGGGAAAAAGAAGAATAGCTATAATTTTCCGAATTCATACTTATTTCTTGGGAAGCTCAGAACAGTGTCCTCAATGAGTTTATTTATTTTATGATATCAAAGAGTCCACATTAGAGCAGTTAATTAGTACTTTTTAAGCTCCTTTATTTCTTACTTAATCCTTCTCTATATCCTCTAAACAAGAGCTAAGAACCTGGGCATTGACATCTTGAAGCTGCGATCTTTAGATTTATTGCTCTTCTTAATGTGCTGAGGGAAGCAAGAAGTAGGTCATTAGAACCTTTCTTCTCAAATGTTTACCCTTTGCTTCCTGGGCATGGGAGTTGAGAGGAACCTCGTTCGTTCTGATTGTGCCCATTTGGAAGGTGTGATCATCCGGACATACCAGGCTGACATGAAACGTACTTTCTATTAAAAACAACTTTGCTCAGCGAATGTCTAGTGTCAGCAATGGAACTGTGCAGCTCTTTCAGGGTGAAGGCCATTTCCAGGCTCCTTTGTTGTCTGTGATATTTGCTCTAAGGAATAAGCATGCTAAAATGTACAGTAATTTGCTTAAAATTTGCCAAGATAAACACTCAATTTCTTCTCTTGTCAGAGTTACTAAAGATGTGACCAAAAAAAAAGTTCACCATTCTTTTCCAATGGTTTATAAGTGAGACATTGCAGTCCCCTCTGGATAAATTAACAAGGTCCACTGTTGTCAGTGTCAGTACTTAGAACCGAAGAGCTACGGATTCCATTGTTTTCCACTTAAACTATAAATTATGCTATGATATCTTTTCCATTTCCTATCCTTATTTCAAAGAGACAGGTTTTATGCTGAAAAGTATATACATATATATGTATATATATATAATATATAATATATATATTATACCTTTAACACTAATAAAAGATGAAAACAAAGCAACTTAATTAAGCTTCTCACAATGTAAGCAGAGTCCACTAGGTAATACCTCTAGGGTATGAGATGGAAGGAATCCCAGAAATATGTGTGATGGCCCCGGATTTAAAAAGATATTAAGTTATAAGTGTAAGATATAAATGCTTCGCTTTATTCATTATCAAGGGGGCTGACAAAGAATGGAATAATAAGCTAGGTGGAAACTCATTCCTTCAAATTAATGTTTCATTTTTATAAAGAAAAAAAATTTACCTATTACTCAAACTTCAGTAGGTTTTCCCAAACCTCCAGTCACCGCCATGGGGAACAATTCATACCTTTTTTTTAATTCTGTCTGAAAAAGTGAATATGTCGGGTGGGTGGTTGTAAAAGTCCCAAACAATGGCTGCTTTATAGCTGGTGGCCCCCTGCTGTTAAAACCTCACAGCTTCTCTCCTCCCCAGGCATGACGGAGATGGTGCGTAAAATTACTCTGAGCAGAGCAGTGAGAATCATGCAGAATCTCTTTCCTGATGAGTACAGCTTCTACCCTCGCTCATGGATTCTGCCTGACGAGTTCCAGCTCTTTGCTGCTCAGGTAGACGCACTCCGTCCCCATGACGCTTGACTTCTGTTGTGCTTGCAACCGTGCCCTGGGTCCTGTGTGCTGGAAGCTGGGGCCAAGGGAGGTTTAACACTACACAGTAGGTGTTGGCAGCGGTCACGGCAGATTGCCCAGTTGAACAGGTAGGGGGACAGGTAGGTAAACTGAAGAAGTGGGTCTGGACATGGGGAGACAGTCCTGATGCTGATATGGGGAGCTGCATCAGGGGTTCAGCATTTGGGGAGCCAGGGAGCCAGAGCTGAAGCAGGTGACTGAGCCCATAGGAGGACTGGGACTGTTCCGGTGAATCCGGGAGGTGTGGTCTCCCCAGCACACGATGACAAAGGCATGAAATGTGAGAGGTCAGACTCCACTTCAAGGCCAGGAAGTAGGTCTGACAAACTAGGGGCGGGGGCACCTTTTAAGTATCCTCCTTACCGAATCAATTTTCTTTCTTTTTTTTTTTTTTATTTATCCTCACCTGAGGACATTTTTTTCCATTTTTTGTACAGATAGAGTGGGAGGGAGAGAGAGGAAGAGAGAGAGAGAGAGAGAAACATCGATGTGAAAGGGACACATCGAATGGCTGCCACCCGCACGACCAACCAGGGCCAGGGACAAACTGCAGCCGAGGTACATGCCCTTAGCGGGAACCGAACCCGGGTCTCTCCGGACCGCAGGCCGACGCTCTAACCGCTGAGCCAAACCGGCCAGGGCCGGAATCAATTTTCAAATCACCCATTCCACATGGAAGCAATGTGTCTGAGCATGAAATACTGAGGATTTTCACAGTAATTGTGAAACAGAACCGGTAGGGAAGTTAACTTCAGAATTGCCATTTGGGTTAGTCTTTTAAAGATTTAATTTAAGATTGTTTCAAAGCCTTTGTCAGCAGGTCCCATGGTCCATCTCATACCTCTGATGGTAGCCATCCAACAAACACCAAATTGTGATCAGGCTAACACCATTTATTGGTCCTACTATGTTCCACGCATTGTGCTCGAAACTTAACATTATTTCTTTTCATCCACACAGTAACATTGATTGTATTAGTATCCTCACTTTATAGATAAGGAAACCGAGGCTATGAGAAATTAAGTGACTTGTTTGAGGAGTAGGATTTAGACTTAGAGCTGATTTCAAGGTCTGTGCTTTTCATTGTCTAGTTTGTTGCCTGCATGTTGTTTTGGTTTTAATATTGAATTATAAAACTTGTAATAAAATTATGACATATAAAGCACGAAAAAGCTTGCCGTGGTAATTTTTGAAAGGAAGATCTCTATGGGATGGTCTCACGTGGGTCTATACGTTTTTAAAAATTCATCAAAGCATTAACGTAAAATGAGTGTATTTTATTGCATGCACATTATGTTTCAATTAAGTTAATTTTTAAAAATAAACTATCAGCTATTCCCCATACTGATCCCCACAATTTCCCACTTCTGTGGCTCTGTTCCCTATATGGAATACCTTTCCTTCCCATTTCTACAACTCTATATGTGGCAGTTCTGCAAAGCAGAATTTATTTATGTATTTATTTTTTATTAATCCTCACCTGAGGATATTTTTCCTTTGATTTCTAGAAAGAGTGGAAAGGAGGGAGGTAGAGAGAGAAACATCGATGTGAGAGAGACACATCGACTGGTTGGCTCCCGCATGACCCTGACTGGGGCCGGGGATCAAACCTGCAACCCTGGTACATGCCCTTGACTGGGCCAGGGACAGAGCTGAATTTAAATGAGATACTAACTGTGCCTTCAAAATCAGGTAAGCGAGAAGAGTGTTTCCATCATCCCCAAAAGTTCCTCTGGGCCTCTTTGCAGTCTCCTCTGATCTGCATTCTCATCATAGATTAGTTTTGTCTGTTCAAGAAATTCATATAAATGGAATCCTATAGTATGTCCATTTTTTAGTCTTTTTTCCCTCGGAAATATGTTTTTGAGATTCATCCATGTTCACTGGGTGTATCAGTAGTTGGTATTTTTATTGGTGAGAAGTGTTCCATTGTATAAATTATACCACAGTTTGTTTATCCATTCACCAAATGATGGGCATTTGGGTTATTTCCAGTTTGGGGAAGTTATGAATGAAACTGCCATGACTAATCATGTACATAAAAACTAGGGCAGAAGGAAGAGTGTTGATTATATGGTAAGTGTATGTTTATAAGAAATTTCAAAACCGTTTTCCAAAGTGGTTGTACCACTTTACACTCCTATCTGTTCCACATCATTGCCAGTACTTAGTATTGCTAGTCTTTTGAATTTTAGACATGCTGAGAGATGTGTGGTTGTATCTCTTTATGGTTTTAATTTGTACCTCCCTGATGTCTAGATGTTGGGCATCTTTTCATATGCTTTTTTGCCATTTGAATATTTTTTGTCAGGTGTTTATTCAAAAGTTTTGCTCATTTTTATTAGCATTTTATTTTTAAAATTTAACTTCTTTATATACTATGCATACAAGTCTTTTGTATATGTGCTATGATGTATTTGTATATGTATTGTGGATATTTTCTCCCACTTGGTCTTAACCTTGAATTTCATTTTCAACTGACTTTTGAACAATAGCTATTAATTTTGATGAAATGTATCAATTTTTTTTATAGTTTGTGCTTTTGCTTGATATTCAAGACATCTTTGCCTAATTAGAGGTTATAAAGATTTTATACTTTTTTTTTCCTGGAAATTTTAGTTTTAGCTTTTACATTTAGGTTTATGATCCATTTCAAGTTAGTTTTTGTATATGGCATGAGATTAGAGTCAAAGTTTGCTTTTTTCCATATGGATAGTCACTGTTTCATCACCTTTTATTGAAGTCATTGTCATTACTCTGTTGAATTACCTCAGTATCTTTGTTGAAAACCAATAAGCCATATATGTTTGGGTCTATTTCTGGACTTCACTTTGTCCCATTCATGTGTGTGTTTACTCTCAGCTAATAAAGCTATGGCTTTGTAGTCCATCTTGAGACAGGTAGTGCCAGTCTTCCCACTCTGTTTATCTTCAGGATTGTTTTGGCTACTATAGGTGTTTTGCATTTCCAGATCAATTTTATAATCACTTTGACCCATTTCTAAAAAGAAGCCTGCAAGGACTTTGGTGTTGCATTGAATCTACAGATCAGTTTAGAAGACAGTGGACATCTTAACAATATTGAGTCAGATCTGTGACTTTTATCTCTGTTTATACCTTTCTTAGTTTATCTCAGCAATGTCTTATAGTTTCACCTACGTGTTTTCATTTTTTTTATGCTATTATAAATGACATTTTTGAATTTAATTTTTCCAATTGTTTGCTGCTAATTATAAACATCCAATTATTTTTTAATTTTGAACTTGTATCATATGACTTTGTTAGATACCCTTATTAGTTCTAGAAGTTCTTTTTTTGTACACTTCTTAGGATTTTTCTCTGTATGTGATTAATTCATTTGTGAATAAATGTTATTTCTGTCTTTGTAATCTATGTGCTTTTTATTTCTTTTTCCTGTTAAACTGTGCTAGGCTAGGACCTCTATACAATGTTGAACAGAAGTGATTAGAATGGACATCCTTGCCTTGTTTCCAGTCTTAGGGGAGAGGCATACAGCCTTTTACTGTTACATATGATGTTAATTGGAGGTTGTTCATAGATGCCCTTTATTAGGTTGATGAAGGTGTCTTCTATAGTTTGCAGAAAGTTTTTCATCATGAGTAGATGCTTAATTTTGTCAAATGCCTTTAGTATCTATGAAGATTATATGGGTTTTTTCTTTATTTTGGTAATTTTATGAGTCACACTGATTAATTTTTTAAGCGTTAAACTAACCTTGCATTCCTGATATAAATCCTGGTTGGTTCTAATGTATTATTTGTTTTATATACTGCTAAACTTTACTTGCTGATATTTTGTTAGGAATTTCTGTGTCTTTATGCATGAGAGATATTGGCATTTGATGTCTTTGTTTGGGTTGGTATCAGGCAAACTTCATTAAATGAGTTGGCAGATGTTTCTTCTATTTTTTTCAAGATTTTGTGTAATATTGGTATTTCTTTCTTAAATGTTTGGTGGAATTCACTGTTGAAGGAATTTGGGCATGGAACTTTCTTTCTGGGAATATTTTTTTTATTTTTTAAAATACATATAGGTTCCCTGACCAGTTTTCTCAGAGGTTAGAGCATCGGCCCTCAGCCTGAAGGGTCATGGGTTCGATTCCTGGTCAAGGGCATGTACCTGGATTGCAGGTTTCATCCCCGGCCCTGGTCAGGGTCATTCATGAAGCAACCAACTGATGTGTTTCTCTTTCTCTCCCTCCCTCCTTTCCACTCTATCTAAAAATCAATGGAAAAATATCCTTGGGTGAGGATTAACAAAATAATAGTAATAATAATAATAATAATAATAATAATAATAAAGTAAAATAAAATACACGTAATTTGTCTTTCCAGGAACTGGTAGTCAATTTCATCTAGGTTGTCAAAGTTATTGACATAAAATGTTTAAAAATAGTATTCCCTTATTATTTTGTTTTTACCACCTGTGAGATATGTAGTGATCCTCCCCTATGTCATTGCTGATATGAGTAATTGGTGTTTACTTTTTTATTCAGGATCAGTCTAACTAAAGGTTTATTAATTTTGGTGTTCTTTTCAACAAACCAACTTATGATTTATTATTTTCTCTCTTGTTCGTCCATTTTCTATATCATCAATTTCTAATTTTTATTATTTTTTTTCTACTTCTTTTGGGTGTGATCTTCTTTCTAAAATAAAAAGTTATTTTATTTTATTTATTTATTATTATTACATTTTTATCCTCACCCGAGGACATTTTTGCATTTATTTTCAGATAGAGAGGGAGGGAGAGAGAGAGAAACATCGATGTGAGAGAGACACATTGACTGGTTGCCATCTGCAGTTGGGGTCGGGGATGAACTGCAACTGAGGTAAGTGCCCTTAGCAGGAATAGAACCCAGGACTCTCTGGTCCATGGGCTGATGCTCTAACCACTGAG